GTGTGTGTGTGTGTGTGTGTGTGTGTCTCTGTGTGTGTGGCCACCCCACCCACAGACAGACACCCACATCATCCACATGTTCTTGGTACCCTGTGCTAACACTTTATGCTAACATTTAAGAACATTGTGAGGAGTTATCGTTCACGTACTCTGGCCTTAAGCAAGGAGCCTGTGATCTCCTGCATCTGTATGTTATAAAACAGACAGAAATAACAGACTAGGTTGTATTATTTGTCCACCGACCACGTTAAAAAGGCAAAAGAGTTTATAGCTAAACACTACTAAATATTAAAATGAGGCAAACATATTTTTTTAGACAATCTCTCTTTGAAAGATAAAGCAAGATATTTGCACGACAAGTGGTCAAAGAAGAAGAGACTTATTTTGAAAGGTACAGGTTAACTCTCCTCCATTTGCAGGGTAGGTAGGGTAATGTTTTGTGTTTTAACAAAAAGTTTGGTGTTTGACTTACAGATAAATGTATTTTTTGGGATGTTACTTACTTGCCACTCATTAGGTACAGAGAGCATTTATGCAGTGGAGACCCTGTGAATGCTTTGTTTCTTTAAAACTGAAGGGAAGTTATGCTGATGCCTTGCAAGAATGGCTGAAAGACAGTTAAATGCAGTCCTTCTCCACTGCTCAACACAGAGTTAGAGCCACTAGTTGCAGACAGCAGCCCAGTGTCACACCAAAGCAGAGGATACCGTGTCAGTTTTCCTCGCCTAAAAGCGAAAAGCACACATGGGTTTGAGCCTATCAGTGGCAAAAACAAGCACTTTTACAGGACGTACATTTGTCCAGAAGGCTAATGTCACAGAGCAGCCATAGCAGTACATTTGTGAAAATTCTCTCATTTATTATTAAGGGTATATTTCAACCAAACCAGCATTGGTGATTTTGGCTGGAGAGACTAACAAAGCTGGTTTGGGTGAGTTTTATTTTGTTTCTGTCCAGTTTGAAGTGTGTTTGACAGTTATCTGCTGGGTAAAATGACTGTACCGCCCATTGTTCTGGTCTGAGATGCTGGTGCATCTAGTAGCATTCCGTATACATAACCTTTCAGCCCTAAAAATGACTTCACTCTAGTAATCAGGCATGTGTATCTCTGTATCCAAGTAGTACGTGTGTGTCCCAACACCCCACCTCCAAGTGGTCTCAGCGGTGTGCCATTCTGCCTGGTTCGCGGAGCTGCGGGGCTGCCGTTGACTTCCACACGGCTCGACTTGCACGGCGGGGGGCCGCTGGAGGCGGGGCTCTCCCCTCTCTCCTCTGGGCTGGTGCTGTCCCGAAGGCTGGGGCTCTCTGTTCCCCCGCCTGCACCTCCGCGCTGCTCCATCCCCCTCCAAACTCCAGGAGGAGCACCCAGCACAGTGTGTGAAGCTGGGAGAAAACACAAGAGAGTAAACATTAGTTAACATAGACAGGCTAAAAACAGCTATCCAATGTATCAGTGTTTTTAGCAGATACTAATTTGCAACACCCAAAAGAAGGGCTTTTATGAAAATAAGAGGTTAGAGACAGGAAGGTTAAAGGGAATACAAAAAGATACATGTGAAAAAAGGCATTACTGCGACACAGCGCTTTTGGATTTTTCTTTTTTTCTTTTTTACATGAACAAAGTAAGAAATTAGGGCTGCATGTTATGGTAAAAGCATCATATTAAAAATATTTTGACAAATATTGGGATTGGTGGATAGATTTGTGATTAGTGATTGTAAATGTCATTTTTGTATCACAAATTGAATTTTCCCTGAAAAGAAAAACACAAAAGAAACCCCATGAAATTTGTTGAGGTCTGTACGAAAAACAAACAAGATTTGTAGGCCAGGCATCTCTTCAGAACTGCACTACTTCATTAATGCTGTTAATAACGCTGTCTTGTTTTTACTTTTATTCAAGGTTAGAGAGGGGCAAGGATGAGGAGTATGCAGTTACTATAGCAGTAACTCTCTGCCAGCACAAAACACATAATTAAAACTAACAAGCTGCTCCTCACACAGTGCAACTACACTCTCTACATTGCATATATCATGTTTCATACTTTGCAAGTGTTGACAGTGAAGAGCCGTTACCGACCGTTTCATCAAATACTGTAGCTTTGTTCAATTCCTCTCCAGCCAGTACAGCGAATACATTTCTTATTCACATACAGGAGAGGTAGGGACAACCACAACAGACAGAGAGCGCGAGGCATCTGGGACAAATCAGAGGTCAGCAAGATGCATTCACTCAGACTAAATAATGGCAAGTATATTACTCTGTTTAGACACATAGGAGTAAACGACACAGTATAATGATAGACGTGAGACTGTGTAAGGCGAGTATGGAACACTATGAAAACACACACTGTTTACTGGAGCTAAGGATACAACACAAAGTGTGTAAACTCATATGATGATGACGTAAGAATTTTTAAATACTCATGTTGTTCTGTGGATGGTTATCGTTGCACACTTTTCCACCATGATCCCCATTATATATTTACTTATGCAAATGATGGTGGTGATGGTAATTACATACATTAAATCATTATTTACAGGGTTTCTGCTGGTTTCAACAGTTTCAATTTAAGACTTTAAAACCTTCAAGACCTTTATGAATGCAGTTCAATACCTACTTCACATACATACTGGCAAAAAAGGTACAAAGGTTATGAAGGAAAATTAATATTCGTTCTATGCCGGTTTCATTTTATAGTTGTTACAGAATGAGCAATAATTTGTTTTCCATTTTAAATTACAATTCAGATTAAAAAATTTAACTTTATACTTTAAACTTTAAGTAACGCTAACTTAATTAATCCAAACAATTTTTTAAATCATCAAAACCCCACCGACTCTTGTATTATTATTTTTCTAAATATTTTGTATTTTTGTGTCAACACACTGGTCATTTCTATGATACAGGTGGTATTAACATCAACTATTTATGTTTAAACATGACAGAGATATTATGGTAGTTTAAAAAAAGCTTTTTCCTTCACTAATGTGTTAATCTGTGTGGTCTGAGTACACGATAATACATGGCCGCATATGAAACAGGTCACATTGTGACAGAACACTACATACTACACTACACAGCAGGAAACGACTGGTCTGTGCACACACATTAACAGTTCAAACTTTTTGTGTGGATTAAACAAGATATTAATGAGCTTTAGAGGTGCTGGTAGATAGATTTAGTTTCCCTTGTATAGAGCCAGTGTAGCGGCTTCCATGCAGGTCTCATATGGTTAAAACAAAAACACACACAGCCATATGAAACATCACTGTTGTGTTTTTACACCTTTTTATATAGTTTCAACAACATAAAAAGGTTTTGTTGCACTGGTTTACTGCTAGTTTAAAAAATACTTTTTAAAAGGCAGTGAGGCTTCAAAAATATGAACAGTATACCCAAAATCTGCTGCATCATGCACGGCAAAATAAACTCAGTAAACACAGTACATTTGGGAAAAGCTGTCTGCTCTCTGCTTCGTGTTTTTCCCTCACACTGTGTGGTTTCCACTGGTATGACCGTAAAGCCAACAGCAACACATGATTATAATAAAACGCACATGCAAAATTAATAGCTGCTGTTAAAAAGCCTATCCAACACAAACAAGAAAAAAAATTAATGAAAGTCACACAGTATTGTGCGACACTGAGGCCCTACCTCACTTTACTCAAGAGAGAAAGAACAAGCTTTGCAATCTGATTTTCTTCACTGTATTTCACTGAAATCAATGTGTTACAGAATTTGCCTCCACACTCGCTAAAAGCAAGTAGCCTTAAATAAGCATCAAATACAGAGAAGGTCTTGCATTTACCTTCCAGACTGTCATATAGCTTTCCTGTTAAAGGGGAGCTCCACAGATTTGACACATTTTAGGTGTTGGGTCTTCAGGTCTTGGTGTGTGCTACTTGCGTTCGGCACCACGGCACAGCTTCGCCCCCTCAGTATCCTTTATTTAAGTCTTAGGTTATGTATCTATAGAATAAATCATTGGCAGAGACATGTATGATTATCACTTAGCTGTAGTTTCAGAACCATGGACAGCTCTGTTCGTTGTGTGTGGGCGACAGGAAGTAAAAGGACAGCCACCGAGAGAGAGAGCTGCAAGCCGCAAACAGCTGCTTCTACGCGTCTCCCGCGCAGAAATTCAAAAAATATTTAGCTCAAGTATTTTATGAAAAGAACAAAAACTGATTTTAAACAGCCCCCTCAGTCACTTCCGCCTGGCACCGGGCCTGACACTATTACGCTACATTTGTTGGAAATAAACTCCTGCACACAGTCGAACTCACAATAATCCATTCATTTGCAACATTTGGGTGCTAGACCTTCATCAGGCAAAGATTGCTAGCACCAAAACGTTGAAAATAAATGTATTATCACAAATGTTGCAAATAGATGTATGAATGTAAATGTTGCAAATAAATAAATGCAAAACATTACTATTACATTAAATGTACACTAGCAAACACAGTATGCACTGATTATTTCTGCCTACAAAAAAAGCGTTCAGGAAACAGTGCCAGGGATTGGACCTCAGGGTGACACTGGGTAATGTGTGAAGAACTCACTATTGATACATACTAACTTAAGCCATTAACACTGGAATTCAGTATTTTTCACGATCCCTCATGGCTCGCTGAATGACAGCAGTCAAAGATGAAAAATCCAGACTGCAAGCTTTTAAAACATCCTTTAGAAACGGGTGGCCTCAGGGTGCAGAGTTAACCCTCCAAGCGGCAAATGTGACCCTCACTATCCACCGTACCCATCATGATGTCAGCGAAACAAACCATCTATTTAGTGTTTTCTACACAGTGTCATGTTTTTGCTGTAAGAAACATCAGCGTTGCATGTTATTAGACACATTCCCAGTGTTAAGCCACCATAAAAAAACATGAAGACGAAGAGAAAGGTCATGGATGTCAACATTTCTGCGAGATCTTGGATGAAATATGAAGCCCAAAAGGTTCAGAAGGGCTCAAAACTTAAGCCTAACCCTAAGCCTAACCCCTGCCATTGGCAGATGAGCCTAAAAGTTCATTTTGGTGTGTACTATGTGTCATGTTTTTGATGTACAATTAAGAAGCCGTTTTATTACTAAAAGACCACCATGTTGACCCTGCTGCTGATCTCTGTCCCTCTGGGTGCAGCTGTCCCTCCCACGCTGCCTTTGTTAATTTACCCATCAGTCCTTTATAATAAAACAGATTTAATGATTATTGAGCATTCTCCAGTTCACCAAAACCAAAAAACATCAGAAAAAATCTGCTTCCCCTGCTGGGACTCCATTTCACTCCAGGGAGGAAAATAACTAAATGCTTTATTTCCGTAATTTTCTCAAATCAACACACATCAAACGAAGACCCACTGCCAATGAAACCCTTTTCATATTAATTTTAGCACGACACAGGTCCCACCAGACACCTCAGTTACACGCTGTATCCCAACGAGCAACTCAACCAGGAATGCATCATCAGAAAAATGTCTATAATGATTAGATTGCATGTTAACTTTAAAAACAAACTGCTCTCTCTTTCACTGTGTGTTTGGTCTCTGTTTAATAAACACATTTTTAGAATATTTGGGGCAATTGATTATAATTAGCCCCCTTCCCTCCTTCATATTTTCCTCCTCTAACCAGAGCAATATATAAGTCATTAATGAGGAGACATAAAATGTGGAGGGAAAATAGAGGGTTGTGGTGTTTGACTCACAGAGAGCTGTGCATGTACACACAGAGGAAACAGTAAAACCTGATGTACAGGGTTTTCAGTGCTGTCAAAGTCATTGTTTTTGAAATATCACTATTTTACCGTTACATTTCGTGGGACCAGCGGGAGGGCAGTTTCCATGGGAACACAGCGAGATTTTTGACATACGGAAGTGGGCGTGGTTTCAGGTTGTAAAAATTATGACGCTTACGGGACCACGAAACTGAAGCAGCTAAATGGAATTCAGCCTTGGTTGATGTTATTATTTACACGTGCTTCACTGTGACATGTCAAAATGTCATGTTTTAAAGTCCTGTGGATTGCAAATGATACATGGTCACATATCAAATATGATGACGCCCATAAAACTCGGTCCCCTAAAACTGCAGGTTTATGTGCAGAAAGGGCCAAAACTGTTCTTCTGGTGTGTAAACAACCTCTGAGCTTAAAGTCAACACTAACAAAATAAAACTGTTTAACATATGTATTTTCAGAGCTTTGTGTTTATTTTCATGTCAAACAGTAACTGCAAATAGTCATTTACTAGGCTAATAGAAATACAGTCATATAAGATGGGTGGGGGGCACTCACACACATAAAACCACTTCAAGGGTGTACAGCCAGGAGACCACACACTCCCAACACAGACCCCGTTCACTTTACTACACATGGAGACCAAATGTAGTCACACTCCACAGAAAACCTCCACCGGCTGTAATACTGTGGGGGATTCATTCAAGGCCGGCTCTAATTTAAGTGGTCTCTTGAGGGAGTTCCTCGTGTCTTTAAGGGAGCTTCAGGGGCCTTTAGCAGCATTTTAAGTGTTCACTGTAATTAAATGAACTGTGAATTTTCTAAGTAGAGATACTGAAGGGGAGTCTGATGACCTTTGAGAGGGTTCATGGGGTCCTTAAATAGGTTACATCTACAGTAGGACAGGCTGACTTTTACTGTACTTTACTTCAGTAGAAATTCTTGGGGTCTGGTGACACCTAAAAGTCCATTGGCAGGGTCCAAAGAGGGCTCCAGGAGCCCTGGAAGAGTTTCCAGTGGCTTTTAAAAACAGGCCTTAAAAAAGGGGGTCCTTGAGTGGATTTGAGGACATCACAAAACCTTTGTACACAGACAACAAGAGGTACAATCTCTGCACACACACAAAGCACACATTCCTACCAGTTGTTTCACACTTTTCCACTGGTTGTCCTGCATTATTTTAAAGGGGAGAATTTAAAAAATGGAGACAATCTTAAGTTTAACTTCACTGAAATGCAACTACCTAACACATCTCCTCCATTGAGACCATAAAGAGAAAAAATCCTTCCTATAGGTGCAGTTTTTAATCTTTATATAACAATATAAAAAAACAGTACAAAGAACAATAATACTGAACTCATCCTTATGTCAGTCACTCACATGTGAAAACCAACCCTGAAGAGAATGTAACACTGGGATTTTCTGCTCGCGACAAAGCTAACGACCACATGTTGCAGTCTAGCTAAGAGAAACCATAAAAAACAAACAAAAAACAACAACAACAACAACTATAGCTCTCCCTTAATACTTTTTCATGGTAATAATTGTTTTATTATAATCCCCTTGTATAAAAGCCTAGATGAGACACACAGAAGAACAGGGCATGAAAAACACTAAAACTCGTATCACCTCTAGTCTTACTCCTAAAAGTTGACCTCTGACCCCAAATTCTGAAAATTTCTGTACCACCATTTTTTAGCAGCACCCTCTAGGGAGCGAGAGCTGTTGAATGCGACAACCAACCCCTTCCTCCCCCTACATCATATTTGTTAGGATACACACAATGTGTTTTGGTGAGAAACACTGAACGTAAACATAAATTTTGTTTGTTTACGAGAAAACTCCACAGGGGCCCCTTCAAGCTGCTCAACCAGCCTCACAGTGAGCCACACAGTCCCTCATCTCTCTCAGCACATTAAATATCAACGTATTCACAGTAACAGGAACTTCATCTCAGTTAGGTTTCAACTCAGTTATTTACTTGTATCGCCCGAGGACCTCCACTTTAATTTGTCTTCGAAACTGGATGAGAATCTTTTACAAAGAAAACACAATTTTTACTGATTCACTCAGAAACTATCAAACAGCGGGAGAGCAGGGAACATATCACCCCACAACACAAAAGTTATTTTATTCTGCTTTTCAAAATGTAAAACATTTTCCACTGTAATTAGATTTATATTGGAAGTGAATTCCTGCACATAATGAACTATTTTTTTGCAGATTTGTTTTCCTTTTATTTACTGTAACTGAACTTCCTTTTATAATCTTGTTATTCAGACTTTTCTTTTTGTTTACTCTGATAATGTAGTCTACAGTAAAATTACTACATGTCATTTTCTTCATTCTAGACTATCATTTATTATATTTACATATTTATATTGTGGTACCACGTCATTAGCTATCACTTAAGTCTGATATGTTGTGCCTTAAATGCTCTTATTGTTGTATTTTGTATATCTGAGGCAGCTAGAAGGCAATTTTGTTTAAACAGATGTAGCCCCTTCTTCTCACATAACTTCATTCATATAATTTCATTCAAATAACGTTAACTCTCAAAAAATTATTCGTCCATTATCAATTACTCATGTGCAAATTGACTAAATCTTCAGGTCATTCTGGTAAACTCGGCACACATGTACAAGCAATAACTTACTTCTACTGTTGTTATGTCCCAACTTCTAGAGCTGTTTCTCCCTGCTGTCTCCGCTCCCCACGGCAACATTACGGACATTAGCAGCTCCAGAAGCAAAGGGCTTTTCACCTGACGTGTCACCGCAGGACAAACACAGCTGCAGCTAATAAAATCAGGCTAATAATGGCCCCGTTTGATTCAGGTGTGCCAAATGAACCGCTATTGACAATATATGCCAATGAGCATTGACAAAACCGGCGGAGGGAGACAAAACAGTCGCCTATTGTTAACGCTCAATGGCACAGTAAATCAAACGTTCTCGCTACTCATTATTAATTTTATTAGCTGCAGCTGTGTTTAACCAATGATACGTCTGTGAAAGGGTCAGTCTAACTGAAGGATATCAAAACTATTGATGCTTGGTAGCGTGCTAAACTGAAGAGTGAATAATGGCGTTTTTATTAATTTCTAGAAGTTCTGAATTGAGTTTGGTGTGGCTTGCAGGACTAACTTGTAAGCTAGGTTAACTCATTGTTTAAACTTCGCACCACGTCCGCATTTAGGGACCGTGGTAAAAGTGTAATAGCAGTGGTTTCAAATTGTTTTGTCTCCTAATAATAAATGTATGTGGTCGAAACATAATTATAGGAGATGATGTTTTGAAAGGTAACAAGACTTTTCCAACCTGCCATCCTCCCTGTGCATGCTGGGATTGGCCTCCTCAAACCAGTTAGTGGAGAAATTAGTAACTAGGGAGTGTCTGTATTTAGTTTTTAATAGCTGTTGTAAAATAGCTTTGTATTTTCTAGACCACATCATAGTAGTTCCACAGAGATCCAAAAAGGACACATGCCATTAAAAGATTATCTGATTGGTCAAAAGCATATTAACTGAATACATAAATAGCAAATTCAATAATTAAAATTAGTGGGAAAAAATATAATTATCTTTTTTTCCCTTCAATTTCAAACATTTAAGAAAATAAATTATTATATTTTCATCTCACATTTACCTTACCTTTACCTCCTGTCTTTTTATATTTTCTAAATCATAAGCTGCTAATCATTTTCCTAAACATGAACATTACATTTAAGTCATCCTCCTTTAGTGGCTGTGAACACAGATCTGGCAAAATATTACAGACTTAGATTTTTCCATTGCAAAAAATGTGAAAGCTAATTAGAAAATTAGATTAATCTGACATTATTGTTGACCCCTAGTGCCAATTCAAGGACTGTGTGAGAAGAAAGGATGTTACACATTGTCTGAGAGTTTAAATTAAGTTTCCACCTCATAAGGATTTTTTTATATGGTTATATGCACCAAAGTGGTTTACAACTTTATTTGAAAACCACCACAAACATACAAATATTGATATTTTTTATTAAAGCAAGAGTTGCCAAGTCAGCACTGTGAAAGGAAGAGAAGGTGTCACTCCTTAAAAATTAGAGAAACTGCCTTTCACTTCTGTAAAACTTATAACAAAAAATAAATCTAGTACTTAGAATAACATTTCATCAAATAAAAAAATCAATAAATGAAAACTTAAAACAGAATAAAAAAAACAATTCAAAGTGTCTCCCTAACATGAAATATCATAATAGCTTTACTTACGTGTACCAGATATCAGATAATGCAACAACTTCTGTATTTTCACAATCATTAACTGCAGTTTCTAAAAGAAAGTAAATTGAATTCCAATCATATCTCATAAAAAGTGACAGCTCTGTCTCTGTATTAATGCTGCAAATATATATTCCTGTCAAATAATGACAGAAAAGTGTTTTTTTATGATCAAGGTTACATTTGGCTATAGTTAAATATAGTTATATAGTTAATTAGTTCCACTCACTTTACTGTAATGAAAACCAACTAAATCCACAAGATCTATTGTCATTGAAGCATGACATTCACATTTTCCCATGAAAGAAGTCTTACATTTCCATAAAATGTCTGTCAGTGAGTCTAAATAAATAAAAAACTCTCCTAATGTGTGATTGCCAAGCAGGTCTGGATATTTGCATCATTACCTATCATTTTGTTACACATTTTATTACAGTTTGTTTAGATTTTTATCTGTATTTTCAAAGTTTTCAGTAAATGCTCACTCACTTTTTAAGAAGTCACTGTGCTTGCTGGGGAATAAACTCCATCCATTGGTGAGAACGAGTGAATCCAGCCTGAGAGAATGTGAATTTTCCCTTTTGCAACAAAAAAACAGCACGCCAGCAGTACGAGCAAAGGATATAAAGACAAGGAGTGATGAGGGCAGACTGCTGCTGCCTGCTGAGTAAAGAGCAGGAAAATGACACATGTAGAGAGAGAGGGAGAGGGAGGGAGGGAGAGGGAGGGAGAAAGAGAGGGAGGGAGCAGGGAGATGGGGTTTGGGAGGGAAACCTGAAAACAGATTGACATACATGAAAAAAGACTTACATCTATTACATACATGGAAAAAAAGGTTAGATTTATTATTTGATTACTTGTCTTCAACTAATCATCTTTAACATCTCAGCTCTGCTGTTGGAGAGAGTGTACAGTAAAAAGAGCTGCTTCTTTATTCTCCAAAGTATTACACTAAATGAATAATGTGATCACAGATTTAGAAAGGATAATTAACTTTCCAGATGTCGTGATAGCAGAGTACAGGAGGAGGAGGAGAAGGTATAAAAAAGGTGATTTATGTCAGAAGTTCTTCGTGGCAACAATGTCACAGTTCTCAAATAGCAGTGTACTGTGGTGCTTTCTGACTGGTAGGTCTGTAGAGTGTGTGGGGACCACTGAAGAGCCACAAACAACATTTAAAAAGTTACAAGTGATCAAAATGGGCATAATAGAGAAGCTGATTGTATGCCCTCTGCTGGTGGGAAACAGTAAAGGATTAAAAGGGATAAAAATGAGTTCCAGACAAACCTTCCTTTCCTTAGAAATCCTTCAATCTGTAACTTCAGCTGTATCTGATGGGTGGATTTTAGTGTAAACACCCCTTAAAAGGTCCAATCTACAAGAGTTTCTAGTTACCCCAACACAGCTCAACATGTGTAATTAGTAGCTCAAATTCAAAACAGAGCTTGGTACAATTGTACAAGTAAACTGCAGTTGTTTTTTGCAATAAAAATAAACTAAAAAGTATAATTTCCACATTAAAATCCTTCATCTGTTCTTTCTACCTCATAAAAAAATCCAGAATCTATGAATATGAAAAAGTTCTTTTCTAAAGTTATGGACCTCTGGTTATATATCATGAGTTTTTGGATGATATATGAACACTTGGAAGGAAAGGGGGTCAATCTGCAACTACACCACTAGATGGAACCAGGGCTGGTGTTCAGAGGCAGTGGTCAGCTTTCCTTGATTTATTCTACATGGAAGAATATCACCTATCATTTACTGCTCAGCCGGCCTGCCTTCCTGTTGCTTCTCCTCTGTGGTTTGTGCGAAAACTGCCAACACTTGTCTGTCCTACATCATCTTAAGTATCTCTGACAGCTCACCACAAATCACTCACCATGAGCAGGAGATGTGTGTGCGCATATAGTATGTGTGTATATATACATATATATATATATATACACTGTATAAGAGTGTGTGTGTGTGTGTGTGATGGTGGCAATTAAAGAGTGCTTTCATAAGACTCTAATGAAAACATGCCAGCCCTTATTACTGTAACAGCAAATATTGATGTTGTGGTCGGAGCTTTATGTGTGCTAACTAAAGCATTTCTGATTTACTCACTTAGCATACAGTGTAGGCTAAAAGGAGGCTGGTGGACCCACATGACCAAAAACTGTTTTTGAAGAGTTCCAGATTATTGTTAAACAAGCCAAATTCATATCAAATTGACTTCTTTGGGATCATTTTATTTTTTTTGCTTTATGTGATTTTAATTGTATCTTTATTTTACTGATTCAGTTTAGTTTCTTTAGCTGCTGTCTATACTAAGGCTGATGGATTATTTTCATGATCAATTTTCTGCTGATTATTTTACAGATTAATCGATTTGGCAGTCGAGAGAATTGTGAAAAAAAGGGAAAATTCCACATTTCCAAAAGTTTTGTGGCCGACAGTCCAAACACAGATATGCAGTTTATATGCAGATTATCAGAATAGTTGCAGGTTAATTGTCTGTCCATTGTCTTCTGCTCTGATCTGTGCCTTATTCTTCATTTGTGCAGTGACACAAAGTCCATCCCACTCAGCACTGAGATTCTACTTTGCTTAGACAAACCACAGCAAACTGTAGAAAACCTAAGAGCTCTTTGTTGTCTTTTCACAGTCGAAATGCTGCCCCCCTGTGGTCCCTTAATGACATGTCGTTAATGGCCAGATCAGTTGTCTCACCTGAAGTATAGACAGTTAGATGACTATTTTAATTCATTAATAATGTTCATTCCTGCCCATACTGTCATTGCATTTACATCTTATGTCCAAGACATTCAGACAAATGTTGTTCTAAGTCATTTTTATTTATTTCCTCTCTGACTGCCTGAGAAAAAGCGTCTTGAAAAATAAAAAGAAATAAACCAGAAAGAGTTTTGAAAGCTACCAGCAGTGTTCTTTAAGCTACATGTATCTGTTTTTTGTTTTTTGGTCACTTGACGGCAAAACTTCAGAGCAAACTGGAAATCTCACACGTATTGACATACTGTGGCCTTACAAAACTGTCAGAGACTTAATGTTTGGTATTGGTACTGAGTGTTTGGTTGGTGACTGATGAAGTGTCTGTTTTTAATGGTGTTGGGTTTGCGGATGGTGTGCTCCCTGGTGGGAACTGTATTGTTCTTCCGTTGTTTGTTTCAGGGTGGTTGTTATTCTTGGGTTTTGCTTTTTAGTTTTTCATATGGAGTTTTTTCTTGTCTATAAACAGTAAGGTTTTAATTTACTGCTGATCTTTTATCTGTGTATCCTATGCATCACTAGTGACCTCCGCCCAGGGACTATAGATCAAAATTTTAGCTCTATCTGGTACAATACATGTATGGTGCATTATCCCTGCTAAATAAACACTAAATAAACAAATGAGAGATTAGTAACTTCTGCCTTCAATATATATATATATTTCCATGCATTAGCATCCTTTCCTAGACTGGTTACGGTTAGGGCAGTGGTTCTTAAACTGTGGGAGGGTGTGGATTACCAGGGAAAAAATAAAGAGTGAAACTAGTTGAATGAATATGACTTATGTAGGGAAAACAAACAAACAAGAGCATGCTGATGCTATCACACTGGCCTTTATTTAACTAAAATTCAACTTCAAGATTGCTTTTCTAAAAAAAAAATGTTGGGGGAACTTTTTTCAGCTTTTGAAGATGGACATGACAGAAATAGTTTGGTTGTGTTCTGGTTAAGATAAGGGGATTTAAGGGAAGACAAAATGTGAAACAACACTGGCATCTGGTGGTAAGATGATAAAATACACTGCATTGACTTCCACTTGAATCCCCACAGCTGTGTGTTAGTACTGCTGGGAGTGGAACTGAAAAGGGGTTTCCAGGTAAAAAGCTTGGATGTAAGGTGTAATGCAGCATTGTTGTCCTTAATGAGGAGTATCTGTTGCACTGATTGGATGGGACTGCTGTCATCCAGGCTGCAAACTGTCTTCAGCATTTCAAATAAGTCAGCCTGTGTATTTAAGTTTAGCTCAGTGCCGCTATTGATGGTCAGAGTGTGTTGGTGCACACAGAGAGCTGACATTGCTGTTTGTGCCACAGTCCTGACTGACCACTACGGTTTAACATTTACACAATCATCAAATAGAGGCCCATAATATTTGTATCTATGTCAGAGTGTGTTTGTGCGTATCTGCGTGTGTGTGTGGTGTGTTTACAGTTTGCTGTAAAGAGTTGGTCAGTGGCTGAGGTCTTTATGCAGCGTAATCCCACAGCCTCTTTCTGGAAAACATGACTAGCAATGGAACCACTGAGTCAAATTTTGGAACTCATTCTCATGACAAAGCAATTGTCTCGATTACAGAGGCCTCGGAAGGTATAAAAGAGAGAACGAGGGCACATGTGGGCACACACTCCTGTGCATATACATAGTGTTTCACATTACATAACATACACATATTCAAGGTAAACCACACAGTGGAGCACAGCTAGTCCCAGGATGGGCAGGGTAAGTAGAGGCGAAAGATATGTAGTTACAGTTAAGTAATTGTTTACTTGTATGAGTGAATGTAAAGTCACAAACTGAGGCTAACCTGTTTCCAGGTTTGATTTACCCATGCAGTAGACTATAGTAGACATTTCCTGTCTTGACTGTAGGATGTTAAACAGATATAGAAGATTAAATAATCCAGAAAGTGGTGCTTGAAAAAGTTGAGGTTTGTGTCTGTAGGGTTAGTTTTGGACAGTACAGTCAGCTCTTGGCTTGCATGTTCAATTTCTTTAAGTCTGAACTTTTAGCTTGTACACAACTGGTCCGGACTTAGCTGATCCTCCTTCTAATGAGTAAAGGGTTTTTGCCTCAAAGCTTGTAAAAGTAAACTCAGAATCACGAAACCGAGCACAAAATAGGATTTACAGACAGTAACTTGACCTTACAACAAACCCAGTTTACACATATAAATATAATTTACAAGCTTACAAAACTAACATTTCAGGAACAAAACTCAAATTTCAAGCACCTTTTTCTGTCATTTAATATTCCT